CTTCATAAAACTTTCATTATCCAAGTCAGGTTACTCAAGTGCAAATACGTAATGGGGAATGAAGAAAGAAAGACCTATTCAATGCTTTTAGCACCATCCTTCAATTCTTGGTCCGTAGAAATAAAGAATAAACTCATCTTGTGTAATAGGTTTTACAGAATTGTATATGCAGAACGTCGAAACAGGGCAGGCACAACCTATTCACTTGTATTTATTATGTGATTTTTGCGACTACTTGCTGAATTGGCGGTCCAATTTCTAATGAATATTTTTGCGTAGTTGGCAGGCTCCTAATGTTTTTTTTTTCATTAGTTTACGGGTAGTTGGTAGGCAGGTACTAACCTTACTGATGTCCTAAAGAACTCATCCCCCAGTTTTCGTTAATGGAAGAACTATGGGCTGCTAACATATACGGGAAGGCGAAGTTTTAAAGCCGCTTAGTAGACCTTCTGGACTGCGTGAATGTGTTGTTTAGTATTAGGAGCATTTATTTTGGCTCTTGGTAAAAACAAAATGCGGCAGTCCACCAAGCAGCTCTGCCAAATAGAACGACTTCATTTACTTTTTTATTAGCCATTTCTCTGGAGCGGGTGATTAAAATGTCGGATATCTGGTTTAAATTTCTAGTAAAAGCTTGTTTGCTTGCTTACATGCAAATCAGTGTATTAGTGTGAACAATATAATTAACTACCATTTACCTTGTCCTGAGAGACTGCGTCGCCGTATACAGAGATCGTTGGGTTCGATTTCAAGCCACGGCAGCTACGTTTCTATCGATACAAAGTAAGAGGACAATCGTCGATTATGACTTAAGGTACGTTAACGAATCACAGTTTTTTTACTGAACTCAAGGTAGTGCCCAGGGTAGGATAATCAATCATCTTGGCTGTCACATAGCTCCATGTTGGTAACGTCGAAGAGCAATATTGAACTAAGGAATGGGTCATAAAAACTAAACAACCACTTATCTATTGCAAAGATAGCCAGGGATAGGGGTTGCTGCTGGTCCCTCCATTAGAATAGCTTCCAAGAAAAGCTCTACATTCAGAAGCTGTGCTTTTTCTCTAGCTCTTTCTTCATTTCATTTATTTACGAAGAAATGATGCTCGTATATTTCTTATAAAAAACAATTTTTTTGCAATAACTCTATAAATATCATGGCAGACATCTGTTGGTGAAGTTAGCTTTCTATTTTAGTAAAATAATTAAACTCTCTGAAGTACGCGCAAGTAAATTTGTCTTTTTTTTTCAGAAGCGTTACAATAAGAAAGTGTGCAATGCGGAAACTTTCTTTCATTGCCTGAATATTGGGTGGCCTGCTGATTAAAAGTAGATTTCTTGAAATGAATGTGTGTATGCTTCTCGCAAATAATAAAAGAACCTGAAGCTATGTGGATGCCTCGGAACATAAAAAAAATGAGTGGCTCATATTTGAAATAGTCATTTGATTGATTGATTTGTGGGGTTTAACGTCCCAAAACTACCATATGATTATGAGAGACGCCGTAGTGGAGGGCTCCGGAAATTTCGACCACCTGGGGTTCTTTAACGTGCACCCAAATCTGAGCACACGGGCCTACAACATTTTCGCCTCCATCGGAAATGCAGCCGCCGCAGCCGGGAATGGAATCCGCGACCTGCGGGTCAGCAGCCGAGTACCTTAGCCACTAGACCACCGTGGCGGGGAAATAGTCATTTGGGGTTGCACGTGAATGATACCTTAGAAAAAAAAAACCAAGGTGTTTCCAGGTATTGTGCAAGTTTACCTTGTGCAGCAATTTTCATAGCTGCACTATTTCCGCTAGTGGTACCTTGCTTCTGATGACAAATAAATCATGGCGTCTAAACATCATTGGGATTTTGCCACTAAACAATAAACTTGAGTCCTGTAGGACGGCAATTAAGTCTTTAAACTCAATGGCCTGCTAACTTATGTTCCTTTAAAGAGGAAAGTGGACTAACGCAATGGTAGCGGTTGTACAGAACAGCGAAAACATCTTACATATACGTATGCTGTTCAAGTACATTCATTAAACATGCAATCTTCGTAAATGACCTAAGTTGTGCTTTTTTTAGACCATACCGTGTTGCTCTATGTGAAGTAAGCCTTTTGGCACTGCGTCTGAATTTACATCTCAAAACCATTATTTGCACGTGCATATTGAATATAGAAAACTCGAAAGCCAGCAAATATGTTGAAGCTTCGCAGGGTTGCAAAAGTTTTGAGAGCTTTTTTTTTATTGTCATGATGCTCCTGAAACCAACACCGAACTCTAATGCCTTAAAATTTCAAATGAAAAAGTTCAGCTTATGCGCACCACCTACCTTCATCATGTCTATTGGAGACATCGATATTATATGTCGATTTTTATTGTGATATTATATTTTTAAGCAAATGATCCACTAAGAAAAGAAAATTTGAAGAACTTACAGATTTGTCTGACTTCTTGTGTGTGAAATTAAATATGGCTCATGGAAGTAGCCTTGTAAAGAAAGAGATAAGCAAAAGCATATAATCATCGAAGTACAATAGGTAAGACTTATTGTTTTACTTAAAAAAATTCTCATTCATTCGAGTTTTTCTTACAGTGCACAGACCACAACTAAGAAAAAACTTTTTCGAAGAAACTCTTATGTTCTCCGGCAGAAAACACATCAACATAAAAGTTTGGTATAATTTTTCAATGAGTTGAAGCAAATCATTTTATTTGTATGGATTGCTCGTGCTCTTTCGAAGCCTTTAACAGAGAGAGAGAAGTAAATATTTTAATGGGGAGCTGGAAAGGTTTGCCTGGTTTTTCTCCTGACATGCTACTCCAGGTGCCGAGAAATGACAATGATATATACAATGATAAACACACAACGCATAGAGCTGCATACACGCATAATAGTCACATAACACAAACAGTAACTCAAACCTACTGCACTATTTACAACGTTTCGTTTAATCCTGTGACACGTGAGAATGTCAGTAGCGCTTCTGTGGAGTCTAACGCCCTGGATCTGTTCTGCCATGAGCCTAGAATATTTTTGAACTGCAAGTTTATGTCCGGTCGTATTTTAAAGGCCATCTTCAGAGACTGTCTCTCTGATGCGTATATCGTGCACTCACGGAGGACATGCTTGATGTCTTCAACGACGTTGCATTGTGCACAAAATTCTTAGTCTAACAGTTCAATTTTCTTCCTGAAGTAATTCCTACATGCAAAGTTTAATTGGATACGGTGTAAACATGCTTCATCTTGCCTGCTCAGGTTTCGAGGCATCCTGAAGGGACAGGATGGATCGATCTTGTACGGAGGCCCATATAGTTGGCCAGGGTCTGTCCGGAGAGATTGTTGGAGGTGCCAAGCTTGTGCAGACACTAGCGTTGCAGCGTCTTGCCTCGAGAAGGTATCTCAACGATTTCTGCTGTAGTGTCAAGTCCAGCTTTGGCAGCGTCATCAGCACGGACGTTGCCTTGTTTTACACAGTGGGCAGGTATCCACTGCAGAACAATGCGGTGATGGAGGTCCCAGGCTTTCTTGCATACGTGTTTCAGGTACGTGACGAGTTGGTACTATGTGCATGGAGACTTCAGCTACTGCAGCGCTGCTCTTGAGTCAGTGAATATGACCCAGGACTCTGCTGCCTGGTCCACGATTTAAATAATGGCAGCCCGCAGTGCAGCCAGTTCATTGGCTGTGTATGAGGTGCAATGACTGAGAGTGGCAGAGATGGTTACATTGACAGATGGAATTCCGACTCCAATGATGGATTATGTAGATGTAACAGAGGCGTCAGTGTAAATATGACGATGAGCTCTGTAGCGGTTTTTCAAACACTCTAGAGTGAAATATCTGAGGGCTGGTCCGGGTGTGCGTCTATTGCTCTTGAACCCAGGCACGAAGGTGACTATGGTCTATGAAGGAATGTTCCACAATTGTTCTGCTTGCATTGATACACTCTGATAGTGTAGCAGGAAGACGCTTCACACAGGACTACTCCTGAAGTAAGCGGACGATGCGGCACTTTGGCAGCATAACGCAAGTTGACTCGAAGAAATTCCTGCTGCAGAAGAGCAGGAGGCGAAAAGCGCTTACTTTCAGCAAGGTTTCTTATAGTTGATGTGTTTTTTAATAGGCCAAAGCACACCCTCCGCGCCTTTGCTTGAGCTCCAGTCAGTGCTTGTATGTTGGTTCGACAAATTCTATGCATGTTTTTAACAAAGGAAACTATATTTTGTTCAATGTGACAATTCATGTTGCGTCAATACTTTTATTCATACGGTGTTGAGATGCTCGCTGTAGCTTTCCTTGGTTATATGTCGCTACATTTGTCGCTACATATTTAACGAAAAGATTCACCTTTAATCTGAATGTTCATGTGAATAGGGAGAATTGCTCATTACATCCTCATACCAAAATGACTTGACTGGAAGTAGCATTCGTAGGTGTCATTTGTTTATTTTTCTAATAGATGATTACTATGCATGCTGTTAAATTATTAGGCACTCAAGTGGTGCTGCTAAGGCAGCGCGATCGACATTGTACATATAAAAATGAGTTAATAAAAGAAATATCGGCACCGTTTGTACCGATTATATTAGCAGCATAATGACAAACTTTAATACCAGATATGTCATTAGGGCTACGGAACCTTACTGTAAGTATCTTGGTAAATCATATGCGTAATTCATATAGATGTCTTAATGCAAAACACGGCTTCTCGCAAATAAAAGTGCGTCGAGAACAATTTAACACGAAAGAGTTTATTAAATTCTGTTCAGTTTCTTTTCGTTGCACTTTCATGTCGTGGTGATGCACTGACTCAATATGCTTGAGCTTCTGAAAAAAAAAACTGAGACGAAAGTAATAAATAAATTTATTAAAGTCGGAGCAAGGTAGATGTCCGGGAGATTTAATACCACTAACCAAAGTACACATTTCGGACAAAATTGATAATATATTTTAACTAAAATATATACTACAAAGTTTCACTTCTGAAAGCTTCTTTAACACCGCATGTCTCTAGACAAGACGAGCCCTTGTATTTGCTAACGTAGCTGAGATTCCTGAGCCATTGAAGTTATAGTCATAGGAAAGAGATCGATCAGATATTTTTGGGTGTTGCCTAAAATGAGTTTACAGTTTCATGCATTTGAAATCGGAGTGGTAAAGCACTTCTTTTAATAGAAATCGCACGTGAGAATTCCGAAGGGCACAACTTTCACAAGAATATTTATATTTCTATTATCAAGAAAATGTCCTACTTTCTAACACTATAACATCACAGCATCTAAGCTACTATGCGGTCAGTATCAGTGATGCTGGTAAAGAATTAAAAATATCATTGACTGAGAAGCTCCCATTTCTTTCGAAAGAGTGTGCTGTAGCCGAGACCACCGAAACCATATCCATAACTGAGACCGTAGCTGCCCAGTCCGTAGCCATAGGCAGGTACTCCGCAGCCGAGGCTGTAACCTAGGTCATAGCCGAAAGCGGGAGCGTGGTGTACAGCGGATACCGATGCAAGTGGAACGTGGTAGGCAGTGTAGGCAGGAGCAGCGATGGAGTAGCCGAGGTAGCCGGCGTAGCCAGCGAAGGCGCAAGTGGCCAAGGTGAGGAAGACAATTGCACGGATCTGAGAAATAAGGCAATTGTGTCAATGATTGTTACAAGGAGTGAACCTACCTGAGATGTTTGATAGGTCAAAATGATGTAATCTGTACTGATTATGACAACGTCGTTGAATTAGCGCATATGTACGTTTTATGTCAATTTACGTATCTAGACTAATAAAATTTGATGAGTGCACAATGATACTCAATCTGAGTTTATCAAAAGCGTGTACGTGCAAAATTGTAATAGCGTTAGTTTGTGCATGGTGAAAAATGTTATGTGAATCATATTTTATGTTCTCATCAAAATGTTCCGAGTAGGTGATTCTTTATGGCGTATGTGTATTGCATACATGTACTTATTTCAGACGTTACGACGAGCGAAGAGTACTAGGTCACCTTAGCCTAAACAGTGATTCGTAAGATTAACCTTACGGTTACTCTGTAATATTTTATCCATATGTCATGCGTGACGCTTTGCTTGCCTGCCAGTTTAAAATTTATCTGTTTTACATAATAGTAGACACAACCAGTACTACAATAGAACATACAATCTTGATACTGCTGTAAACCTTACCATGTTGGAGTTGAACTCGAGCTCTTCTGTCTAAAACTGATGATTCTTTGGTGAGTATGTGGCCTTTTTATACACAGTTGTGTTGGTGCTTTCGCCGTTGTTTTCCACGTGGGCATTTTTTTCCTAATCTGAAGTTGTAAACTTTCTAATGTTTGTAGGCAATGCAAACTAAAGAAGGGGTTGCTTAATACGCCTCTATTAACACGCTGTACTTTTAACGTGGATCGTAGAGGCAGATGGCAGAAGCAGATATGTTTTACGAGATATATAGCGTAACGCACTCAAGACTATGTGACACAGCCCACTGCCTTTTTTGACCAACGCGTTTGCAGTAAATTTCCTTCGTCACGGCCTAACTCAGTGAAGCTACTTTTTTCATAATTTTTATATAGATCCCAGATTCTCATTACGTCACCATGAGCCAGTGGCGGATTTCGGGATCAAACTTTAGAAGTATTCAGGCACTGTATGTGAAGCTGCTTCCGCTCTTCACGACTTATGAAATGTTAGTAAGAACAAAACAAATGCCGTTCTCTATATTTTTATATGGAGCAACATATGCGAAACACTTTGCCAAACGACCTTGTATTTCTAGAGACATACCACACCGGTGACGTAATAGTTTCGACACGGCCCTAAGCATAGCCCGAGAGTTATAGTCTAAGTGTTTAACACTTCGCTTTTTTTAACTTTGTCGTGGTTTTTATAAGAGATAAACAAAACAAAAGAAGTTGAATTAAACAAAACGTGCGCCTTTACATTGGTGAATATGCAGCAGTCATTTAACAAAAAAATTGAACGTTCAAAACGAAAATTGAAGAATAATATAGCGGCTATAGTTCTGAAAGGCTTATCTTGAGGAGTTGATATAGAAGTTGTGAGAATAAGCTAGGTGCTAATGCTCTTAAATATAGGGCGTAGCTTATTGCAAGAGGTCTACGTCCTGCTGCGACTATGCGTCAAACTATCTGAATAAGTAAAGTGGCCAACTGTTTAAATATAATCTGGCATAGTTAGCATGAATTTTCATATTGTACTATGTATACAAGATTGCATGTTCCGGACATCCACTGGATTGTTTGAGAAGATCATTACTGAAAAATAAATCAGCAAAATTGTCATACGTATGGTTCATTAATCTAAAGAGCAGTGTAAGTACATAAGCCATATTGCATTTGTTCCCAACACATGGAGCCACAACTACTGGTGAAAGTGAGACACAACCTTTAACGCAGCAAGAAAATTTTGTTACAACCTATCTCACACTGTTCGTAAACCTCCTCGCGAAAAACTGTACATCGTAACGAACGCACCGCTTTGAGAATATCAAGGCGTCTGTATGTATTATTTGTGTGAAGTGCGCAGAAGTCAGCCTTGAAGCTTCTGATACTGTCGGCAACGTTTTTATGATGTACACAGAGAGTGGGCACATGCAGTAACGTGAAATTACATGGTGCGTTCTGCCACTGAATTCTTGCATAACCGCACCTTTATATTCATCGGCATGACGCGTCTAATTGTATCGTTGGACGTAAAGTGTTTCTAAGGGAGCTTCAGCGGGGATTTTTCTTTTGGCTAGTGAAATAGACGTGCACAAAACCTTGAAGGTGGGGTTGGATAAACACTTTCTCCTAATGCTGTTTAATAATTTGCCTAGACACTCATTTACTTGATTACATAGCTTTTGAAAATAACAATGAAGAAGCTAGGATCTAAAAGAGAACTTATAACCGAATCAACCTAATGAATAGTTATTTAGAGCGTTGGCATACCCACACCACAGACATGCTCATGCATTGCACAATTGAGCGATATATGTGCCAATGAGCCCGTTTGTATATCGTACACTTTGCAGTTTGGTTTGATACGTCCACCTAAGACCATTTCCCATACCTATTTTGTGTGAAAAATTAACTCACACGATAAGCAGGTCCCCTACAACGAAAGGCTTTCAGGCTATTCAAAAGCGCAATGTTGTATGTGAGCTCACAATAAGATATTCAATTTAGAAGGCATTAACTTCTCGTTGTCAAAGTTTGTATAAACGGGCGTTAGAACGTGCGCCAAAGCGCTACGGTTAGTTTAAACTAAAGAGCCCACTATGTCTTTAAGGGCAGAAAACATGAGGTACCCGGTTTGTTCTCCATCCATGCATCTCATAGGGCATCGTTACGCTCACAGTGAAACGCCGACTACAGGCCATTTCAAGGCCAGCGGTGCCAAAACCTGGGTTTAAGATTAAGGAAGAAGGTCCAAAAAATGCATTTAACCAGTAAGTGATCAAATTAATTAGCTTAAAATCGCTAAAACGTGTCACAAGCATAGACACTGATTTAGGTGGGGCACGAGAGAGGGCGCCAATATCTCGCATCAAGGTGGAGAATGCTCTCCCCCTGAGCATCATCTGCATCCGTGTAGTGCTCGCGCGATGCTAAGTCGTAGCAACGTCACTACATTTGATGAAAAAAGAAAACGTGATAGAAATCAATAAACACAGCAAAACGTAGCACACGTGTTGGGCACCGAGCGTGTAAATCTTCTCAGCACGATTCTACTAGTGTCGGGGTAACTGTACATGCTTTCCTCAGACATTGGCGTTATTCCCACTTTACTAAACGAAGCAGTATTCAACACCATGAACACGAATCGCTGTGTGCCCGTGCGATGCACTTCCTGATCTTTCAGAGCAGTGGAGTCGCCATACTTTTTTTTTATCGAACATGAAACATGCCTTGGAAGATGGCAAGACATTGAATCTTTTATGCCACGTATTTTTAATTACTGACGCATGCTTAGGGATGCACCATGTATTCGATATATAACCGACTATCCTTCTTGGTGATAGGTCATATATCAAGTGATACGTGCTCCAGCATTCATAAGCCCGCACTTGGTTTAATTCAGACAATTAAGTCTGTAATTTACGCATGATTTCTGTTTTATTCCTATTCAGCTTTACTGCACTGAAATTGAATAGCTTCATGTGCCAAAACCCGTTTTTTTCCTCAACTTCTGGACATGTGCTTTAATATTTTGCTTTAATCACGTACATTCCTGCTGCGATTCCATATATACGGAAGAGAACGCAACATGTATGTTTATTATATTGAAAGAAAAGATATTATCCCTGAATTGTCTCGTCCGGTTCGCTTGATTCCTTTGCACTTCTTCGAAACACAAAATCTGTGTGTGATTTCTGAAACTTCAGCGACAGATTCCCTCTGTGTGGTTTTCTGCATTGGTATACGCGTATTGGGCCGGGCATGTAGCGCGTAGACAGGATAACGCGTAGACAGGCTGGTCGTTAAGGGTAACTAACTGGATTCCCTGAGAAGGCAAGCGCGTTAAGGGGAGACAGAAGGTTAGGTGGGCAGATCAGATTAAGAAGCTTGTGGGTATAAATTGTCAGCAGCAAGCACAAGACCGGGTTAACTGACGGAACATGGGAGAGGCCTTTGTCCTGCAGTGGACGTAGTCAGGATGATGATGATGATGATGATGATGATGATGATGATGATGATGATGATGATGATGATACGCGTAATAGTTGACACATTCTGACATTGTGCCATTTTATTGAAATAACGTCTAGGAACAAATTTTCACAACTTATGACTAATTCTAGAGTAGATTATGGTAATCTTTCTATCGGGTATCTTCTGTGTTGGCAGTTTTACTACAAGGTTGAACAAGATCATAAAATAAAAAAACTCGCAATCTTGAACAAAAATTTGGTTTTGTGATAGTCCTAACTTTTGATGTTTAGTACAATGTTCAATCCACATGAATGGCATTATGTTTTATAGACGTCACAAAATTCGTGTACTTTTTCCTATGTTTACAAATGTTGACGTTGTTGTGCTACAACCTATTTTGTGGTATACTTTATGTCATCACGAGTGAAAAACATATTGTTAAAGAACCATCTGTCTGGTATAACTGCCCATTTTCACATTTTTTTACAGTATCATTGTGTGCCATGTGGTTTAGTATGATCATAATAATGATCAGGAGGAGATGCATGGAGCGCGGCTAGCCGAAACGCACTGGACAACCGATTTCTGAAAAACATTTATCTTCTTCCAAACGGGTTCATATGTAATGGCTTGACTTGTCGAAGATTTAGGACACTCAAACTAGGGTTTGTACTTAACCAGAAGTTACAAACTATAGCATAGGCAGGTAGACACGAAAAACACTTTATTTGGTCATGAATACGTCAACTCCCCTTTTTGTTGAAGATGGACTGCTGGTTTGTTGCACGTCGGTCTGGGAAGGCCAAGCCTCCCCCTCGCATCGTGTGTCTTCCGCATTATTTGAAGCTCACAGTACTAACCGTGCCTTTTCATCAGTTAATAAAATCTGTCTTGCGATGTTGGTAAACTCACGTAGCGTTGTAAAACGTACAGTCGGAGAACACGCGGCTAAAATTATTGAGTAGGCCCCAGTCGGAGCACGTAGAGAACTCCTCGAAGTGATTCCAAACAAATTGTAAAGTGTGAATAAAATACAGCTCCTTCAATCAATTCGGCCATAACACATATTAAAAGATCGATTGAGAAAAGCTTCGCGTAACGTAGTTGTAATGATTCCGCATACACTGTGCGCCTTTTTTTCTTGAAATCATCATACTTGTTTCTATTACTGTTTCAAAGTATTTTTGATGGTACATTTTAGTTCTCCCCAATTCAACTGTACTCTAGCGTTTTGTATACGTTATCTGAAAAACAGTACACAATTTTGCACGACAATGATCAAGTTGTTGCATTAGAGAATTTATTAATTTTTTCATGATACGAAAAAGAATTGTTAAACCACCAACTGATGCAGTGCTCTTGGTTTCAATGCAAGATCTTATAAAACAGGGGTCTCAAGCACGTGGCTCACTGGCCATAGGTGGCTCGCAGACGTTTTGCTATACGTCAACGTCATCACAAGGAATAATATGTTTGTGACTTCGCCAAATTTTTCACTCACATTGTTTCGGTGACATGTGGGATTCAACGTCGTAGAGGAGGGCTCCCGAAATTTCGACCACCTTGTGTTTTTTTAACCTGCGCCAAATCTGAGCATACAGGACTACAGCATTTCCACCTCCATCGAAAATGCAGCCGCTGCAGCCGTGATTCGATCCCGCGACCTGTGGGTCAGCAGCTGAGTAATGCTCCCCTTGTTTAGTCTCTCTTGTGAATAATGCTTCATGTGAGTGAGCTACAGAGAGGCGACTTACCTCAACCATTCTTTCTATCCCGTAAGGTACCCAATGAGTGCACCATGTGCAAAGACATAACCACAGCGTAAAGTCTACATTTCTCATCAGTATTGATATATATCTCGAATATTGACGCGACACGCTCGCATATGTGATATATGTCAAGTGTGTTTTTTCAAATGGCAGTTTAGGTTAACTTCTGTCCCCCCTTCATGCCGCTTCAACCCCCTTCGCTGTATTTGCCCTTGCTGGACTAACGGTTATAGCTGTGGCCCGCTACATCAGGTAAGCTTGACAGTCCTGTTTTACAGCCGAAAATTTGAACACTCGTAGAAACATGAGTACAAAATGGCTATGCAGGCAGAGATGAAGTTTTATCGCGGTGTTCATATCAGTCCGTTTGCAGTCTCCATTCTGCGAATAGAGAAAGATACCTACGTGGAAACAAAACCATTGATTGTTTGAGGAGATTTCGTCATTAGAACCCCTAAAATATTCCAGTAGATGTCATTTGAAAGGAAAGGGCTGCTTAAAGCGAAGGGAGTGCCAAACGTTTACATTACGACTAATAATTTTCAATGTAGTCTGTGTATTGAAACATTCAATCAAGAGTTCTGAAACTATTTTGCAGTATAAAGTAGTGTGAAGGGTAATCATTCGTCCTATGCTGGAGACAGCTGCATTGAAGTATGTCTGCGGTGCTGGGATTGCTTCGCGACGAAATTGGAGACTGGTCATGCTTCTGAAAGTATTTATAGTTGCTGTCTATTCTTTCTTGTTTTCATGATCATTGTGATCTTCACTGGGACTGTTTCAACGTGTTCCTGGAAAATATTAAAAATGCGATGTTATTAACTCTTAATGAAGCCATATTGTCTACGAAACGCAAATAGTGTAGAGTTTTTCCGGCATATTTAAATAGAAAAACATGCAATAGAGTTTCAAAGGGTGGCCTAGAATATTTTATTCCAGTTTTGGGCACTTCATAAAATATCAACAGTTTTTTTTAAATTATATTCGCTAATTTAGAACTACCCAATCAAAATTAGTATACTGCAATTAAACTGAATGTTCAGGTCATTAGAGCAAAACCTGGCTATACTTAAAACCTCATCATCCTTCAAAATAGCGTTGTTCATTAGCAGTCTTACCAATCAAAATTTACAATTGTGAAAAATCAATGAAAAAAACAACGAAGGGAATTACGTGGTGCAAGGCACTAACGTTTGTTGCGAAGGAAGATGCTGTTGCTGAGACTGCCGAAATTATATCTGTATGTAGCTGAGACCGTAGCTGCCCAGACCAAAATCCTACCCGGGTACGCCGTAGCCGAGACCATAGACAAAGCCGTAGCCAGAGGCGGGAGCGTGGTGCACAGCAGATACTGACGCAAGTGAAGCGATATATGCACCAGCTTTTGCTGGAGCAGCCATGGAGTAGCCTAGCGGGTAGCCATTGTGGCCAGTGAAGGCGCACGTGGCGAAGGTGAGGAGGATGCAAGCACTGATCTAAAAGAAGAATACAGCGAAAGAAAAGAATGTTATGAACTACCGCTGCAGCTTAACGTGTAAGCTACTGCGCTGGTAAATACGAAGGCATGTCCTTTTCGATTCTGGCGAAGCGCAATAACTGTGCGCATCAATTTAGGCAGATGTCAAAAGACTCCTGTTTAGTGAAATAAAGATGAAGGGCCAGATTAAGTGGGTAGTATGCTTCCGGCGTCTCTCACTACGCTGTGATACGTAATCTTGTCCTTATTGAGTAAGTCAGACTGAAGAATATTGATACCATACTTTGTAGGAAGTGTAGGAGATAAGAAAGAACGCTGGTGAGCCTCACCATAATAATGTTATTCTCTTGTATTTCCATTTACCATTTAACGGACGACTCTAGTACGCCAGCCAGCACGTACCTCGTAGTGTGCCTCTCGGATCAAGTAGAAATGACATGACACTTTTCAGATGTGCACTTACTTCTACGTACATGAGCGTTGCGGCCTTCCACCCTCATCAATATACTGCTCACGCACGAAACAAAGCATGACGGCGTATCAGAACAAGATTGTTTTGTTAATATCGTAGAATATAGTTTAAGAAATAGATAATTGTCGCTTGCACTGATGTTCTAATCCGGCTGCAGCACACTTGGTTGCACTGAAAGTGACTTTTGTGGATATTTTTTTGCAGAAAAATTTGCCGAACACTCAAGGTATTTAGCATGAATTCAGTGTAGGTGTGAGTGCGCATTTAGGTAATAACATTGCTGTAATAAACGCTTTGTAGTTCGAATACATCTTCAAAATAAATCAGAGTATGAAACAACAAACAGCCTCGAATGTTATTGTTCAGTTTATTAAACGTACCCGTGCGACAATGATCGGGTCAATGAGTTGAAGTGATCGCATCTCACGCTCAACATATCAATAAAAATGAAAACCTTATCTGGAACGTTGACATTATTTCGCTATTTATAGTTAAAGTTAGGCTAACATGTCCTAATCTACCATCTGATGCCAAGAATAAGCGCGCTGGAAGTTTCTCTCCCCACTGCAGAACATAGCAACTCGAAGTAGTCTTCTGTGGAATCTCACCGTGGTTGAAGAAAGCGGCAGCTTCTAAGGGAGCAAACAATGGTCGATTCGACCGGTAAGCTATAGTCTTTTACATCTACAGCAGTGAAGAGGGCATTGCAAATGTTTTGCCCCGTGTCATTCTTCCTTCTCCCGGAAAGTCTACCCCTCCAGAACCTTCATAATAATGAAAGCCACATTTTGTTGAGTTCTAACGATTTTGCTGTGGAGAGGTTCAGGTTCATTTTGCCTCGGCTACTCCATGCAAATATGTTCTGCAGCAAAACAAAAGAGAGAATAATACTGAAGGGTACCCAAAAATGAATGATAAAAAACATAATAGCACACTAAAACCAGTTTAAATATCCTTCGAATGCACATTTTGCTTGCAGAAGTTCACACAGTCATAAACTGTTCACACGCACACCTCCCTTTTCTACTACCACTGTATGCACTAACACATTTCACATATATCAATTCCTGGCTGTTCATCACAGGCGCTTATTCAGACCGGTCTCTACTGAAAATATGTCAGGAAGATGTCTGCCTTTTTCTGAAAATGCATCTCAGGCCATGGTCCGAGTAATTTTTTTATTGTTAGGACCGTCTGTCGAAACTGGCTAATTTATTTCTTAATTTTTCTCTTTCATTCGTGTATATAACGCACACCTGAAGAATGCGGCAAAAGTTTTTTTCTGCATGACCACAACAGCTTTCCGGGGAGTTGCATGGACATATTTTTTGTAGGAAGCTGTTTGTATATGCTATTACCAATCGAAGCTTGTGGATTATTGTCTCCAAGCGTCGTGGGAGATCTGTTGCTATGAGAAAATGTTATGTGTAGATTAACCTCATTAAGTACTGATTCTTTTTATTTAGGGCTATCACACCACTTCTCCATTGAACAATGGTTAGCTCCTTGCGTTATAAAATGTCGAATATTTGCCCCAGACATAAGGACTGCGCAATCTCGTGTTTAATTTAATGCTTTCTCGGCGAGGCTGTCCGCCTCTTAATTTCTCTTCGTTTCAATGTGACTGGGTATCCATTGAAATACGATGTTGCGACCCTGCGCAGAAGCATATTACACAGTTCCAGCAAAATATTGAGCTATTTCACCATTTTTTGTAAAGGAATCTCACATTTTTGATTTGCTGAAAGGCAGGTTTGCTATCCGTGCATATCACCAACGTGGCTCCGAATTCTCGCAGATAAGCTTAACTGCTTGAACGATAGCCACCGATTCTGCTGTCATCGATGAAGATTTGTGCAGCAATTTGTACATTCTCTTTTTCTGAATTTCGGGTATAAAGACTGCACAGGCTGACGCTTCTTCAGCGCACAATCCATCTGTATAGATCTTTTTTTTTCATTATGCATTATATGAAAATTATGAAGTACAATCTGTGCGGCTACTAGGAGCGCCATGTCTGCTTTCTTCTCTATGCCCTCTATTTCACAGATAACGTTGAGAAGCAACAGCGTTCAAGGTGGTTTGGAAGGTTTCCAGCATTTAAATCCTGGTACTATTGCTTGGAATAATATGCTATCCTGTAGTCACGTTGCCATCCTTTGTGTTCGTGCACCAGATAAAGGATGACTTTCATGCTGAGTGAAAATTCTAAATAGATTTCTAGATGCTACTTTAGCTGGGAGTACTGTCAAAGGTGATTCTCGAGCATCTGCATAGACTTAAGCACTGTAAGTTGACCGTGTCAACCGCAGACATACCCTCAAGCTTCTTGCCAATAACAAGTGAAGTCTCCTTTCGGTGGAGGCTGGAAGTCTGTGCAGCAGAGGCAGTTGGTAGTTTCTGATGAGGCGTATACGCGCAACATGTAGGGCCAATAGTGACACTGTAGTACCACCCCATTCGGCCCCGCAGAGATGCCGGAGGATTTGAATGGCTTGATTCACTTTTCGTTCAAGGAACTGGACATGAGGCAACCATGTTATTCTCCGGTTTATAATCACACCCAAAAATCTATAAGTTTATTGCATTTGAATAGGCTGGTTTTGCAGAATCATCTTGAAATTTCCAGGTCTTTTAAATGTAAACAGTAATATGGTTGTTTTAGCCTGAGTCTGTGCCATACCTCTTTTTTATAAAAATAATCTATTTAATTCAATTCTTCTTGTAAAGTTTGTTGGACATCCTAAAACGATAGACCAGACGTCCATATACTTTTATCATCAGCATATACTGAACGTCTGATGTTAGGTGGAAGATTATACGGGCGCTACGCCATGACTGCAGTAGGGCTTAGCATGCTGCCCTGTGGCACACCTTGGTTGACGACATGCTCTAACAATAGACCCTCCTGCGTAAATACAAAAATTTACCGGTGATTCAGGAAGTCAGCGATCCAACGCCGTACCTGGCCATTGAATTCCTGTAACGCCAAGCCTTCCAGAACGTGAGTGTGACTCACTGTGTCATATGCTCGTTAGACATCAAGGAATACAGTGACACTGATGTTTCCTTGCTTACGTTGGGTTCCCACATCTGTGACCAAGTCTAAAATGCAGTCCATTCTGCATCTACCTCTTTTTAAGCCGGCTATGTTTTCTGGTAGAAGTGTTTCATGTCTTTCCACCATAAAATTTGTTCATTGATTAATTTCTCTATCACTTTCGAAATACAACTTGTCAAACTAACCAGCCTAAACGACTCCACCTGCATAAAGCTCTTTCTTGGCTTTAGCAATGGTACTACTTCTGATATCTTCCAACTTTCCGGAACCTTTTCTTCTTGCCTACTTTATTGTAAATGTCCAACAGGTGTGTTTTCCTTTCTCGCACAAATTAGCAAGTGCAGCGTATATATCTCCATCTGGTCCTGGTGAACTTGTTTGTTTCACTGAAGACCGCACATATTGAAGCTCCTTTTGTGTGTAGCTGCCATCCAGATCTCATGAACTGACCGCAAAGAACTTCATTACAACCACCGAAGCAGATTCTGCTCAGGAATTATAATCACTAGTTTAGACGACCTCTCCATTTCTCAGTTTAGATCGCAAAGTTCTTCGGCAATCACACGTTCACTAACTACTTCATGACAGCACTGGAGCTTGTAGTAGTCTCAAGTGTACTATTGACTATCGGAGGGTGCGCACCATGTTTTCATCATCAACGTTGTATGCGGGCAGACAACCAATAATGCAACCTAACAATAAACTATCTTCTTACTATGTAAAATAAAAACGACAAGCAGAGAGTGTGAGGGTAGTGTAGATGAGAGATAAAAAGCAGCATCTCCTAAAAATAAGGTAATGTAAGGATGGTAAAAAAGATACGACTGTACATGGGCATGTTCCTCTGAGCTGTAGCTTCTTTTTGAATGAGAAACATTGCCTACACGAAAGTACACGGCGGTCGGTTTGATTAATAAACGCAGACATAAACAGTTACTTGCGCCATGACGAGACAACAATACGAATACATTGCAAGCGATTAGAATGCCACTAGTCTGGCATAATGAGCACCCCCGTAGCACAGGTTTCGAGCAATAAAAACACAGTGTCGAAAGCGGCTGCATCTGGAGGTATATGTGTGAACAGCAAGATGTTTCATGGTAGGCGCATATTGGCCACTGCAATCGCCCTGACACAAGACATATTTACAGCGAAGCATGCTCTGCAATATATGTGAATCATGGCATGCTTCGCAATATACATTAGGTATGCTACTATATTGGTCGGGGATACACCGCGATAGGAAGAGAATACGATGATCAGGGAAAAACAAAGGGACGTTGTCAGCAGGTCCTGGTATAAAAGGGCCGTGCAGTTACTGCTAGACTCATCAGTCACTCTACTGGTGAGCCAAAGAGACCCTACACTATGGTAAGACTACACCGGTCTTGACATTCTAATTTAAAATAATTTTGAGCTGTGAACTCAAGGCGATACATTGAAACTTGCTAGTCAAAAGGGCTTAAAGCAATTTCAAGGCTCGAATACAGAAAGGCTGAACACTGCTTTTGCAATCGAGTTATTTATTGTATAATTTTTAGCCGTACGTGAGTCGAGGCCCAGGGGCCATTCTGTTCTGGTCAAGAAACGTGCTTTGGAAAGTGTGTACCATATGTCATGTCAAATCAATGGTCATGACGTAGATGATCAATTGACAATCAGACAATGTAATGTGATGGTAAAACTTTGTGATAATTTTGCATGCACACATCGCCTTTAGCTTACTCGACAATTTGACCAACATCGCCCCGCACGGTGTTCTAGTAGCTAAAGTACTCGGATGTTGACCCGTAGGTTGCGGGATTGAATCCCGGCTGCGGCCGCTGCATTTTCAATGGCGGCGAAAATGATGTTAGCCCCTATGCTCAGATTTGGGCGCACGTTAAGGAACCCCAGGAGGTCTAAATTTTCGGAGTCCTCCACTACGGAGTCTCTCATAATCATATGGTGGTTTTGGGACGTTAAAC